AACTAAATACCGATATTCAAATCATATAAATAGTTCCTCACTTTTTTCTGTTACACTTAGGTTATACAAACTGTTGTCTCATCCCGATAACTCCTCCAGGCTTACTCGTCGCTTCAGCCTGGAGGGTGTAAATAAAACCCTTCTTACTTTTCCCTCCGAAGCACCGAGTGATCGACCATTCACACCAACTATTTCTGTCCTCGATGTTTACGACATAGCTGCCTCAATCGGTAAAGAATTTGAGACTATCATCGGTAAATATGGACCGTACTCAGTATCCAACCTAATGCCTAAAGTAATCAGTGTCCTTGAAGAGTTGGAAGATTTCGCAACAAAGTTTGAGTCGGAAGGAAGAGAGATTGTTACCCTTCAAACAGCTGTACATCGATTAGAACTTGAGAAATTAGAACGTAAAGAAGATCAAAACAGGCATAAAAAGGTAGGATTACACTTTTTTTTTGATTTTTCGTGTCAACAACTGGACACTTAAAGCGATTTGAATAAAAAGGGATTTCACATATTGCTATTGTTTTATAATTCGTACATATGACTGTACATTGCGGTACACTTCATGTGATGTTAATTATGTAACGATTATGGAAAAGGAGCTTTGACATACTGCCTACCAATATATGCTACTTGTCTGCTCAACGCCAAGTGTCTATCACCGTTAGCTTTTAAGCGATTGTTTCGGCTTATGTTCTGCTTTCATTTAGTGTTGATAAGCCTTGAGCATCCGTTTTAAATCCTACTGCAGTCAGCAGTACGATTTCGCCCTCAGACCTTGAGTTGCTGCTTTATGTTTTACCGTTCTTCAGTCGGTCTGCCTGCAATGTAGAACTTAAAAAAACAAATGTTCTGGCTAATATAGCTCAGTTGAGTCACCATGATAGGCAAACACGACCACTAAATCAACGTAGCAGCAGTGGTTAGAAAGGAATCAGTTCACTGGTTTTCAGCCACACCTCAGCTATCCACCATCTCTGAATAATCTGAATGCCAAATTGATTTAAGCCCTCTTACTATTAACAAGATTAAAACGGCTTTAGGCAATCTACAACAGAGAAAAGCATTAGGATCTGGTGGATCAACCCCTGAGATTTTTAAGGACGGCGGTTAAGTTTTAGCAGTTAGATTGACTGAGATCTTAGCCAGAACCTGGCAACTGGACGTAATCCTATTTGACTGGTCTCAATCGGTGATTGTCCCACTCAGTAAGAACGAACGAAAATCCGCTTGTGATAATCAAAGACAAATAAGTTTAATTAACGTACTTTCTAAAATCTTAGCCTTGATAATACTTCGACGCCTAACTAGTGCTCGTGAAGAGCACATTCGAGAAATCCAAACCGGTTTCAGACCTGAATGTAAATGTATCAATCAAATATTCGTATCTCATCAGGTCCTAGAACATCAACATACTTTCCGACTTCCGACAATAATTACATTCTTTTGACCTTAAGGCGGCGTTTTGCTGTTGACGGTGAAGTTCCCTGAGAGTGCCTGTAATTAGAAAATGTGCCAAAGAAGTACAGTAATCTCATACAAGCTCTCTACTAGAACACTAACAATTAGAATTATTGAAATATGATCATTAATCTCTAAAAAGGAGTATGTATATAAAGAATATTATGAGCATATTGTTGAAATGCGATTGTGGATTTCCACTAATTGTGTTCACTTATTTCATCCATTATCACGTTAATATATTTCAAACTACATAGTAAACAGTAGCTTATAACAGTGACGATGAATTTTTTTCCAATATATCCATGATATAACATAAAAATTGTTGGATATAATGCAATAGAATCTTTATCATCAATAAATTAACTAGGATGTATATTCCTATGATTGTAACTAGCTCACATTTATCTGTTTCATAAGGAGAGTGAGTAATGAACTTTAGAGAGACGATGTTCGAAACTATCGACAAGTCAATAATACTGAATGTTATTAATTAAAGTAAAGTAATAACACTTATTGGTTATTTTATGGGACCATAATTTTCTGATAGAGTTAATACAAATGAGGCTTTATTCTTATAGTTAAGATTCGCGTCAAATTTATGCCATTATTTAAACTGTAAACATCCTTTGCTAACTTTGAAATAATAGTTACTTTGATAAACAAACTATAATGCTATTGCCTGTATTCCGAAGTCGTGTAAGCTGTATCGTATCAAGTAATTTATTCGAATTACTGTTGTAGTGAACGAGAACACAGGTGGGGCAACCGAATTGTATTTAACTAAAATTACAGAGTTACTCAGTAAAATTGTAAAACCATATCGTAAATCGTTCATTTGCAAAATATCAATCCATCATATCGAACTAGACTGTTCCTGTTGCAAAACATCAATCCATTGTCACTATTCATGTGTTTCACACAAATTCCATTGTGTTCTAACTCTTCCTTTCTTGATCTTCGCCCATCTTCTGCTGCCAGACATTACGTTGACACTCACGTCATATACTACTTATAAGTAGCTCGCACCACACTTATTTATATTGTAGCACCGCGAAACTATTTTCCATTGTATGCACATTTCTAAGTATCATTGAAGTATCGTTATATCATTCCTCATTCGTTCTTCAATATATATATATCATATCATATCTCTGTTTTAAGGAATTGGAACAAATTGAAGAGATATGGCATTCTGAAGTGCAAGAACTTTCTCAATTAATTGAAAAATTAAAAGAAGAAAATAAACAACTTAAAAATGCCATTGAAGATAGTGAAGCATCGAATAATCAATCATCAATTCCAACTAATTTTACAAGTAAGCTCTTAGATTTTAGAATTTGCCTTTTCTCAAAAAAGAAAACCCATTAATATATACCATGTGTATATATTGATTTTGTTCTGTCTTATTAATTAACCACTTCATCAGTTGAGGTGGTTGGTATATGTGTTACGTATGCCTAACCATTGACTGCCTAGTTGAACTATATTTTATGGTGTAGAAATAGGTTGGAAGAAAGGTAGGGGCAGCCAGACCAAAACATGGCACAAATCCATGAAATCACTAACAAGTGAAGTGAGTCATGTTGGTAGATGTAGGCTACCTGGTTAGGGTCAGCGAGATGAAAGTCATTGATGGTTATAGAGACTCTGAATGACATCGCTCAAAACCGTTCGCGATGGCGTAGGTGCATTCATTCTTTGTGTTCTCTCAAATCGTAAACTTCTAGATTCCACTTCTTGAATAATATCTTCTAACCCTAATCTCTCAGATTACTGCTAACCTCTACTACTATGGGATTTGAATTGACATTGCGTCTCTATGCTAATGTGGTTTGGCAACATGAACTGATGTACGTACGAAGTTCTACACTGCTATTGATTAATCTTATTATTAACCACGAATGAAACTTCATAACATTTTAAAATTTCTAAAAGCACAAAACACTTGTCATGTAAACATAACCTCTTACATTTTTTAGAATGCTTGTGAACTTATAAACCCAATAAGAAGTTGATACTCAAGACAAATATCGAATCCACTTATTTCAGCCTTGATTTTTGACGTATATCTCCTCGACTTAATATACCTACAACCATAGGCTTTGTAGGAAAAAAGATATGATGACACTTCAATCAAGTGTTGAATATCTTAATGTACTCAGTGACGGCCTATTTAATTGTCAGTACCATTTACGAATTGTTTGACTTCCAGTGAAATAAAATAGCAATAAGTCGTATATGTTACCTAAATCGTTCTTCCAAACGTTGTTCGTCAAATAATTTGGATATTTGAACATACTTCTAATCACTGATTAAATTTATGTAGAAAATAATTGAAGGCTAGGGTCTATTAAATACATTCTACCCAATTATTAGATATCTCGATAGTAAGTACACATGATCTTTTGCTGTAAAACTTTAGTTTAGTTCCGTATGACGTTGCTAGTATTTACTATTCAATCAATTAATCAACTGCAACGTAGAACTTCGTACATAAGTACATCAGTTCATGTCGCCATACCACATCAGCACAGAGAAGTAATCGTCAATTCAAATCCAATAGTAGAAGAGGTAGTAAGGGAATTAGAAGTAATCGGAGAGGTCAGGATGAGAAGATACTATTCAAGAAGTATGATTAAATGAGAAAAGTTTAGAAAGTCAAAACTAGAGGGGTTGAATAATCCAGACGATCAGGATTTGAAAGAACACAAAGAATAAATGCACCGGCGCCACTGCAAACGGCTTTAAGCCATGTCATTCAACGACTCTAACCATCGAATATTATCATCTCGCGGACCCCAACCAGGTAGTCGACAATTACCGACATGGCTATATCCACTCGTCAATGACTTCATGGATTCCTGCCATGTTTTGGTTTGGCCGCCCCTAGCTCTCTTCCAACCTACTCCTACACTGCAAAACAAAGCTCTTCGAGGCAGTCGGTGGTTGGGCATACGCAACACATGTCCCAACCACCTCAACTGATGAAGTTTCATTACTTCATCTATTGATCTGCCATTCTTATCTAGTACCCGTTTCCTAATAACAGCGTTGCTCACTCGGGTGTCCCACGATATACGAGCAATGCTTCGAAGACACCTATGATCGAAAACCAGTAACCTACGAATATCTTCTACTCTCACTGGCCATATTTCACAGCCATAAAGTAAGACGGAGCAAACTACTGCGCAGAACACTCGTCCTTTAGTCAGCAAACGGATATCTCGCCTGCGCCATAAGTGACGCAGGTTGGCAAAAGCCAATCGAGCCTTCTGTATCCGTGCTGAGATTTCGTCAGTCACCAGGCCATCGGCACTGATGAGACTCCCCAGATAAGTGAAGCGGTCTACACGTTCGACTACTTCACTCCCTATCACTAGTTCAGGTGCCGATGAAACCCAATCTTGAAGCAACATTTTGCATAGATTGACTGACTAATTTCTCCTGTTTTTCCACAGTTGTCTAACTGATATCTGCTAACTTCAAACTAAGCAATCAACAAAAAACTCCTGTTATTGATTATATTATAATTTAGTAAATTTTCACTATACTGCTAAACTTAGAAACAGTTAGCGACTTTTGTTTACGTGGCTTAGAATCATTTGCAATGGTGCAAGTGCATTCGTTCTTTTGTTTATCCAGAGTTCTATTATTCCAATAGTTAATCGTTTCTACCACTACTGATGCTGCTATTCTTTCTACTACTCTGGAATTTGTCTTGATAACATTCTCGCCATGTGCTGCTAGTGTTACTCGCCAATTTGAACTGATGCTTATATATTTCAGGTTCTGCATTGCACATCTGCAATTAAACTGACTTACAAAAAGTAATCTTATTATTCTCTTCCATTTTGGTTACATTTTATAGTATATCTATTTTATTTACTTATTAGATTCTACAAATATCGAAGAAATACAACTTATGATACGCTTAAAAGAAATTATAGATCATCAAAAAATACAAATTCGTTCATTACGTCAACAGCTAGCTCAAAAACATGTTGATTTGGATGCGGTACGTATATTTTCATTATTAATAGCATTGAATTAAGATTGCATAATTTTATATTGAAGAAAATAGCTTTCATACTGACTAGTTTTCAAACTGCCTGGATATTTAGGCACTAAAAATTGATTTCTGATCCACTTAGATATTTGATTGCTGAACCAAGCTAATGGTGCACATGGGCTCCAGGATCCTGACGGAATCAATGGTGTATGAACTTATTGTTGGTCACTGACTACCATGAGACTGCACCTCCTAACGTGTTACTCCACTACCTTGTAGATTAGACTTTTAGGTCAAAGGCTCAGAGCATGACCTCCTAAGAAAACCATCCGCTCTGGTTTAGGAGTCCGAGCAGTATCTCAGCCTACTCACGAGTTCAATAATTTGTGTGGCCCATAATTATTAAGGTGCTCATATGTATCAATATTTATGCATTTAAATAAATAATCTTTCAGTCAGTAAAGCTATTTATCTTCAATCAGTAAATTACACACTGTAACTTGCACTTTACCTGCTTCTACTTGTTCAACCACTATGTTTTATTGCCCTCTCTTATACGAAAAACGTGTTTACAACTATTCACACAAATTTGTACTTAATTGTGTCGAGTTATACTAAAAAATAAATGAGATTTCCTTGTTTGCACAAATAAATAGATTGATAATTATTCGACAGTTGCATTATTAAAGGAATGCTTAGATCATCCGAGTTTGTTTCTCGGTCATCACAATCATATAAAATTCTAAAATAAAAATTCAATATGAAATGAAAATTTATTAATATTAGCGCTGACGACGATAAATAAGCAGTAACAACAATTTCTTTTAAATCAAACTTATATTTGATTAAATTATAATTTATTATTGCTGTGGATCTTAATTGATAACGCACCTTGATACAACACCACATCCTGTTCAGCAAGATTTGGGTTGGAGAACATGTACCAACAGACTGGAAAGAAGGACATTTATAAAGATTTCAACTAGTTTGAGAACTACGAAGACATCACTTTTCTCTCAATCCTAGGAAAAATCTTCAACAGGGTGTTGTTAAACAGAATGAAGGATTCCGTAAGAATCGATTATGTGCCTCCCAAATCGCAGCATCACGGATCACTGTGGAACAATCAAGTAGATGGTATTCACCACTCTACATCAACTTCATTGACTACGATAAAGCATTTGATAACTTGGACAGGATAACACTATGGAGGCTTCTTGGACACTCAACTTCTAACCTCCTGAATTCCTCATCATCTCTATCTTTCTCTTTCTAAATTTATCTCACTGAATTATACTTCTCGAATCATATCTTCGAACCCTAATGTTCTCCATTATTGCTAATACTTCTACTATCTCTACCACTATTGGACTGGAACTGACAGTTACGTCTCTGTGCTAATGCTGTATGGCAACCTGAACTGATGTACGTACGTACAAAGTTCTGCGTTGTATCTGTCTGTCTTCTTGGACACTATGGCGTGCCTGAGAAGATAGTTAACATCATACGGAACTCTTATGATGGATTAAACTGCAAAATCGTACACGGAGGACAGAGCTCACAGATCTGTTCGAAGTAAAAACCGGTGTCAGGCAAGGTTGTTTACTCTCTCGACATTTTAGGGAAAGCACGGTGTACAGTGGACAGCCAGGATATAGCTGGACTATCTGGAATTTTCAGATTATCTTTGTTGTGCTAATATTATTTTTACTAATTATTCAGTTAGTCAGCAACCACGTAGAACTCATTACGTGCGTACATCAATTCAAGTTGCCATACCACATTAACACACAGAGAGATCGAGTTGTCAATTCAAATTGCATAGTGGTAGAGATAGTAGCAGTATTAACGGTAATTGAAAAGAAGAAGAAAGGATAAGTTCAATTGTCAATGACTCCATAGATTTGTGCCATGTTTGGCTGTGGCCGCCCATAGCTTTCTTCCAGCCTATCTCTACATGACAAAATATCACTCGTTGAGGTAGTCGGTGGTTTGGGTATACGTAACACACATATCCTAACCACATCAGTTGATGAACAATTCATTTCCAGTACCACTTTCCAAACAGTAACATTGCTTACTTGTGATAGTCCCCATGTATATATAAGCGCAATACTTTGAAGACAGTTTATTCATTAAGGCTCATCCACATTCGTACCAAATTCTACTTTCTTTATAAATTTACTTATATTAGTCATTCATCGAAATTACCACCCACTTATTTTATCTACATTAAATTAAATCATTTGCATCATATGCTAATGTGATTCTTTACTATTTTCGTTTTAATCATGTTGATAAATAGTGTATAAATTGGATAAGATGCTTGTGTTTGTGTGTTTGTGTGTGTGTGTGACACGAAAACATATTCATGTAGAATTTAATCACTACTACTTACACTGTCGATTACAATGACAAGCTTAATCATCCTCTTCAATGGTCAACATTTTTTAATTGCATCATTCTGAAACAATTTTTTTCCCCTGTCTTATTTCATATTTTTCCTGCTTTGTTGAGTAGGTTGGTATATGCACTTGTTCTCTATCTATCTCTCTCTCTCTCAATCTATCTACTCTTTTCAAAATAATAATAAAGTTAACAAAATTTCTCCTTCAATCAATATTAAGTGACGTCAATCAATCATATCAACTTGTTTATTATTATTATTATTATTATTATTATTATTATTATTATCCTAAGCATACACACTGTGGGTTCTCACTGTTATTATTTTAATAAATCATTATTTATTATAAAAATGAAATTAATGATGATACTGGTCTTGTGATTGATTACAAAATTATCGATTTTTTTCGTTCATGTTGTTTGTTTGTTTTCTACGTTTACGTATATTATTACAATTGTAAATAATGAGTGAGCAATGCTGTCGTTAGGACACGAGTACTAGGTAAGGATGGCAGATCAATAGATGAAGTGGTGAAACTTCATCAGTTGAGGTGGTTGGGACATGTGTTGCGTATGCCGAACCACCGACTGCCTCGACGAGCTTTGTTTTGTAGTGTAGGAATAGGTTGGAAGAAAGTTAGGGGAGGCCAAAACAAAACATGGCAGAAATCTATGAAATCATTGGCGAGTGGACTTAGCCATGTCGGTAATTGTCGACTACCTGGTTGGTGTCCGCGAGATGATAATAATCGATGGTTAGAGACCTTGAATGACATGGCTCAAAACCGTTTGCAGTGGCGCCGGTGCATTTATTCTTTGTGTTCTCTCAAATCCTAATCTTCTGGATTCTTCAACACCTCTAGTTTTGACTTTCTAAACTTTTCTCACTGAATCATACTTCTTGAATAATATCTTCTAATCCTAACCTCTCCGATTACATCTAATTCCCTTACTACCTCTTCTACTATTGGATTTTAATTGACGATTACTTCTCTGTGCTGATGTGGTATGGCAACATGAACTGATGTACTTATGTACAAAGTTCTACGTTGCATCTGACTGACTGCCTGACTGATTAATGATAATAACCTATAGTTTCCTGAATAATAAATAAATAGATACTACTTTGTCTGTCTGATCAACTTTATCGATCCGTTGATAAATGTTTATGGTATGAATAATGATTTTTTGAATATTTTAATTACTGTTTTAATTATTGCTGAAAATTAACTTGACTGTTTGGGGGGGGATTTTGTTTCATTCATCATAGCTGTACAACATGATACATACCGTACATCAGTTCTAATTGCCATAACTCATCTGTTGTTGTAGGGTTTTTTGTCACTAAGGTACGCTTGAAGCTATTACGAGTTCACCGTAGTCGATAAACGCGAACGAGACAATGAACCAGCGTCCAGATAGGTTACCTTGAATCCCAAGCTGAATATAAAAGGCTTTGTAAGCGTACAAAGTATATTCTACAAACACCCAGCAATCACACAATACAATCAAGCACACAACTCTCGTTTATTTATACATCATAGAAACGTCATTGGGAACAGTTATGACAACAGCACACTAAAATACACAGCAGCCAATCACAGCCATGGATTTTCCTGGTGGGAAATGAAATCTCAAGGTCAACTGATCAGCCCATGCTGGCGAACGTGAAATCCAAAATAAGGCATTTAACAAGCGAGTTCTTGGGGATCTAACATCCCCAACATTTGTATCAAGTGAAATAGTGTAATACCTTTGGTACACCGTTTCTAATAGTCAAATCAACTTGACATTCCAATCACTGACATGAAATTTTGCACTCCTACCCTATCTAATTTAGTTTGATTAATTGAATAGGTAAACATATAACTCCATCTGTTAAAAAATTTCTATTGTTTTGTAAGTTTTCATTTTTTTTCAAATCTGTAGGTATAATTATTTCTAAATTCAAGTCTATTTGTTTTTACCAATTAATTTTAATTGAATAAATACAACCTAATTTAACTGTGGTATTACTATTTTATACTGTATTATTTCGTTCGCTACCTGTCCGTTCTAGTATAAATATCACTGTGTACAAAAATCATGTATACATATATGTACTGTCCAAGACAAATTATGTGGATGATGAATTTGGATAAGTGATTAATTGTCTTATTCATAGTACGACACCCACGCTTCTTACATTCCTTACCTGACTTGTGACCTTGTGACGGCACGTGATGTCTGAAATCATCCGTTATACCAAAATACAGTTCAATTATTTTGTCACATGCCACGTAGATGGTGATACTTATTGTGTATGCTGATTTTTAATTAATTAATGATGTTTATTACGTCATTAAAGTATAAGGAACAACCACAACCAGAACATCCAGCTCAGAGAACCAAACACCACCACCATCACAAGTATAAGGAACAATATTTTTTGAGAAATGATCACACTCAACTATAACGGTTAACTATTAGGAGTTTGTGAAATCGCCTCTATATATATGGGTTTTTGCAGATGGTAGCAAAAAATAGATCCAGTACAGTTATTTCTGGAGTGTATACACATCTTTCATCCATCTGCATTACTGTTTCAATGTTAAAGTGATTATAAAATCTGAATATTTATGTCCAACCGATTTGTTTTAATACCTGCCAGTTCGAAACTTTTATTCCCCCACAGCCAAATCCTTTTTATGTGCTCTCACTTCAGTCACTAAAATATCCTGTCTTGTTTGTTTGAGTACACCAGCTTTAAATGACCGTGGGGCTAATTAAAAGCAGGGGGAATAAATACAGTTTAAAACTATATTAATAAGGAGAGTTAAAATAGATGGCAAGGACATATGAAACAATTAGAATAATTGTTGGGGATGTGAGATCCCCCAAACTCGCTTGTTAAATGCCTTATCTTGGATTTCAGGTTTGCCAGCATGGGCTGATCAGATGACCTTGAGATTTCAGTTCCCACCAGGAAAATCCATGGCTGTGATTGGCTGCTGTGTATTTTAGTGTGCTATTTTCATAACTGTTCCCAATGACGTTTCTATGATGTATAAATAAACGAGAGTTGTGTGCTTGATTGTATTGTGTGATTGCTGGGTGTTTGTAGAATATACTTTGTACGCTTACAAAGCCTTTTATATTCAGCTTGGGATTCACGGTAGCCTATCTGGACGCTAGTAATTGTCTCGTTCGCGTTTATCGACTAAGGTGAACTCGTAATAGCTTCAAGCGTACCTAGTGACAAACCCTACAATAATTATGAAATCTTTTCTAAATCTAAAAGATTCAGATATAATTGTAATTAGATCAGTGAGTAGTTAATTCTACAGAACTTCAGTAGCATATCAAATTCTCCATTTCCTCATTAACATTGTATTTTTATTCTTTTTCCTTTGAACTCCTATCAGATGCAACAACAAGCTACACGTTTAGCCAAGTTGAATGCAACTCTACGTCGTAAACATGTTGTTAGTAAACAACAAGCAGATCAATTACGTGAAGAGAAGTTAAATTTAGAGACACAATTAAATACAAAAGATCAACAAATTAAACAAATGCAAGAACATATTCATCATAGTAATAATAATAATAATAATAATAACAATCGTAATACTAATGACAATAATACTGAATCATCTATTTGTACTGATATGTCAAAATCTTTAATTGCTGAATTGATATCACCAGAGACTCCGGTAAATCTATGTATAATTTGTTAATGTCATCTTTTGTTGATTTTTATCGCAATATCATTCATTGTGTCATTGTTAATTGTAAAGTTGACTGTGATTAAACAATTACTGACAACTAAGAAGCACTGAAAATCTGTTCTGTCTTAGTTTGTGACTCATTGGTAGTAAACATACATGACTCCATCGGGGGTCGAACCCTTTGACCTTCAGACCTAGGGGTGAATGCTTATTATTCTGACTTCAGCGCACCATTCAACGGTTAAAACATGTTTTGCTAATATCTTGACTTCATAGCTGTGCAATACTGTATACATGTACAGGATTTTTTTTGTAGAATAGACTATCGGCTATAATGTTATAATTCGATATTGATCACTTAATAAGTTTAGCACGCAGAGGATACAAGTATTGATTAACAGTTGTCTACCCAAAATACTTCGGATCCGTTGGCCATACATCATCAGCAACAATCTAGTGTGGGAGAGAACAAACGAGATTCCAGCGGAGGAGGGAATCAGGAATAATCCCTGGAAGTGAACAGGATACATACTGGCACAAGCATCCGATTGCATCACAAGACAAGCCCTCACTTGGAACCTTCAAGGTCAAAGGAAAAGGGGAAGGCCAGGGAACAGATTACGCCGAGAAATAGAGAAAGATATGAGAAGAATAAGCAGGAATTGGACAGAACTAGGAAGTGAAGCCCAGGACAGAGTAGGTTGGAGAACACTGGTCGGCGGCCTACGCTCCATTGGGGGTAACAGGCGTAAATAAGTAAATAAGTAACGCAGACCCAGTGAATAGGCTAGATTAGTTAGCTAAAAAGATATTGGTTCTGTTAAGTTTTTACAGTCTGCAAATTTATCTTATAAATGTTCTCAATTGATAGATTATCACAAGCGATTAATGATTATAATTAACTGATAAAATTAAATATATTATCTTCCCAACCAATCAACAAATAAACTTAATTTACATTACCTAAAAGTCCGTATTCATTTTCTCACGGAAATTATTCCAAGCTATTTTTTGAGACAGAAAAACAAACAAACAAGAATTAGAAATAGCAGCTTCCATGGATATTGACTTTATTCAGTAGAAATTTATTGTTTAAGATTTTTCAATATTTCAGATGATAAATGTTTTATTTTGCTCCGAATGGGATTATAGCGCTCATCCAGTTAATGAATTTTTAAAAACATAACATCATCTCAGCTAAATTTCCATTGTTCACCAAAAAGTTTTCACTGACAGTATTAACGTCAGTCAGTCAGTCAGATGCAACGTAGAACTTCGTACGTAAGTACATCAGTTCATGTTGCCATACAACATCAGCACAGAGATATAATTGTCAATACAAATCCAATAGTAGAAGAGGTAGTAAGGGAATTAGAAGTAATCGGAGAGGTTAGGATTAGAAGATATTATTCAAGAAGTATGATTCAGTGAGATAAGTTAAGGAAGTCAAAACTAGAGGTGTTGACGAATCCAGAAGATTAGGCTTTGAGAAAACACAAAAAATAAATGCACCGGCGCCATTGCAAACGATTTTGAGCCATGTCATTCAAGGTCTCTAACCATCAATTATTATCATCTCGCGGACCCCAACCAGGCAGACAGTATTAACGTACACAATAAACACTTGATGTATAAGTTTCATGAATTCATCGCATCGATTCAACAAACTAATGTGTTTAGAACTACTAACTTATGAAATGTATTGATGAATATCAACCTCTTTCTAACTATTCAGTTTCAATTGATTTATTTACTTCTAAATAGCCTCCACAATTAACAGAGGAACAATTAGTTGAACGACTTAACGCTGAAGGTAAAATGATTATTGATCGTCATGATCCAAATCGTCCACGTTTCACCCTGCAAGAACTACGAAATGTATTAATCGAACGGAATGAATTAAAATCACGTTTAATTGAAGTTGAAGAAGAATTATCAGTTTATAAAAGAGCTGGGTATGTTATCATGTTTTGCTACCACTATTATTACTATTACTATTACTATTACTATTACTATCATTACTATTGTTAAACAGATCTGATGACTCACTGTATACTTGAAATATTCTAGTTGAGTTATTTAAAGCGAATTCGAAAAGCTTATCTCAATTACTTACTTACGCCTGTTACCCCTCATAGAGCATAGGCAATATAGCAGTATTCTTTAACCTACTCTGTCCTGAGCTCTTTTTTACAGTTATTCGTAAGTACTATTCATGCCTTTGATATCTGTCCCCGATTCACGAGTCAACATGTTCTTTGGTGTTCCTTTGCTTTCACTTTGGGAATTCCCAGGCAAGGCTCGTCTTGTAAGGCAATTTGATGATTTCCGGAATCTGTGTCCTATCCACCTCTAGAGTATTTTCCTAAGTTATTCCTCAGCTAAAATCTGGTTTGTTCTCTCCCACAGTAGGTCGCTGCTGAAGATGTCTGACCAACGGATCATCAGTATCTTGCATCGGCATCTCTTAATAATGATGGTAACTTTTGTATTCTTCCAAGTTGGTCGTGAGTTTTTTTTTTGAGTCCCAGATGTTCTTCAGTTATAGAAATGTTGTTGTTTACTAATCCGTATCTTCACATCTGTATCAGATCCATCTTGTTTATCAATGATGCAAAGGTTTCTACATTTTCCAAAGCTTCTCCATCAAGTATGATTTGATTGGTGTATGTTGTGTTGTATCGAAGGATGTTACTTTTTCCCTTGTGGTATATGTCCAAAGACCTACTGCTGTAACACCGATCGTCTTCACCTGTATTCGTTGTTGTGTGTGGGGGTAGAAGAGTTAAGTCATCTGCAAAGTTCAAATAGTCTAGCTGCATTTGAGTTGTCTATCATAATTCATGCTTCTCCTAAGTTTGTTGAACTTTACACAATATAGTCAATGACTTAGAAGAATGAACAAGAGTATGTGTAATTAATAATTTCAGTCATCTCCAATTGATTATTTCTTTTAAAGAGAAATCCAAATTTCATTGTTTGTAATGTCATTATCATATAGTTTAATCTTTACTTTATTTCCATGTTGATCGATATCTCTATTCATCGTTTGTTTTGCAGTTCAACTAGAACTGTCAATTGTTAATCAGTATTACTTTGAATTTGTTTATATATTATGTTTAATAATAAGTGGGTTCTATTCTTTTTTACAAAAAAGCGTGTATCTAAATTGTTTAACTGTTATTCACTTTGTATGTGAAAAGGTTTTTGCATTTTTTTTTCTCCTGTTAAATTTTTAAATAAATAAAATCAGTCATTTAAATGTTTATAATTTGTAATAATTGATATTCAACCGAATTTAGTTAATCATTGAACTTCCTTAAAAAAAAAAGACTAAATATTCTGTGTTACATTCTAAGGTTTACTTGCATTTACTTGTTCTGTAACTTTCAAAACTATGAAAATTCCACTGAGTTCATCATCATGATTTTCAGTTTATATTTTTATAAAGCTGTTGGGGATGTTAGATCCCCAAAATTCACTTGATAATGCCTTATTTTGGATTTCACGTTTGCCAGCATGGGCTGATCAGATGACCTTGAGATTTCAATTCCCACCAGGAAAACCCATGTCTGTGATTGGCTGCTGTGTATTTTAGTGTGCTATTTTCTTAACTGTCTCAAGGACGTTCCTATGTTGTATAAATAAACGAGAGTTGTATGCTTGATTGTACTGTGATTGCTGGGTGTTTGTAGAATATACTTTCTACGCTTACAAAGCCTTTTATTTCGACTTTGGGTATTCAGGGTAGCCTACCTGAACGCTCGTTTATTGTCTCGTTCGCGTTTATCGACTAAGGTGAACTCGTAATAGCCTCAAGCATACTAAGTGACGAACTTATCAAAAGCACAGTTTTTATAAACTTGACTTTAAGGGGCTTATGGTTTGTATATGGGCTAATGGTATTGTTCGGTTGGACAAATTGTGTAGTAGATAAGACGGGGTTTTTTGAACTTTCTACTTACTAGTTGAAATTCAAGTTCTTCTTCAACCACTAAACTATCACTATACTTGTTTGCAGCTTAGTTTACTTTGATAAACACTTAAAACGCAATTTTACGTTGTTTAAACTATAGATGATTTTTGTGTTAACATTGACTACGGGTAGATATTTTCGAATATCTCAACTATTTTTGTTCTTCACATCTTTAAACAATTTATTTAGTACAAAATTCCGATTTCTAAATAATAATTAGAAGACCGTATATTACACCGGTTGAAATGGTATCCTTTATCTATCCTAATTTGTCTAAAATTACTTTACACTTCATATAATTTGAGATGAAATCCCGGCCTTTATTAAATGTTTTGTATTAACATAAGATGTATTGTATGTCTTCTAGTAATTCCTCATTATCACTGCTTCAGCTGAGAAATTTAACCTTTTTGAAGGTATAGTCAAATATAAGACCAAGTGTTTGAAAATACAAAAAGAAATGAATAATATTTCTTTAGATAATTTCACTGTAACTAATTGGTTATAAGATGAATATGAATAAGTTTAACTTATCGCTTTCTATGAATATACTTCATTCATTAGAAAATCTACACCTCACAGTGTTAGACGTTGGTAAGTTAAACTGCTGCCTATCTCTATTTTCAGTGTGATACTAATATAACCAATGTTGAATTTTGAGAATATCTAATTATCTTTCCATCGGTTTCTTGTGCATTTCTGCACTATTAGTCAAATCCATGAAGTCATTGACAAGTGGACTGAGCCATGTCGGTAGTTGTCGACTACCTGGTTGGGGTCCGCGAGATGATAATAATCGATGGTTAGATACCCTGAATAACATGGCTTAAAACCGTTTGCAGTGGCGCCGGTGCATTTATTCTTTGTGTTCTCTCAAATGCTAATCTTCTGGATTCTTCAACACCTCTAGTTTTGACTTTCTAAACTTTTCTCACTGAATCATACTTCTTGAATAATATCTTCTAATCCTAACCTCTCCGACTACTTCTAATACCTTTACTACCTCTACTACTATTGGATTTGAATTGACAATTACATTTCTGTGCTGATGTGGTATGGCAACATGAACTGATGTACTTACGTACGAAGTTCTACGTTGCATCTGACTGACTGACTGACTAGTGCATCAATTCGTCTAAGCATTGTGTGAAGATGATGTTTCAATCAGTGTTGGTGATCATTCGAAATACTGCTGACTTCAACAATTCGATCACATCCTCCACACTGTTATTACAATATCTTTCTTACTGCGCATCATTTACCGATACTGTTACCTTAGTTTGTTGATAAGTGCGGATTGAACATCAAGTAAAAAATTAGTCTTAGTGTCAGTGTATCACCACTTCCTGAAGGAATTCGTGCATACGAATTTGTAATCGGTGAAAATGGAGAATTAATAGTCCCACTATTTTCTATACGAGACGCACTGAAACGCATGCACTCACCTACGTTTTTCGCCATCGGATATTGTTTTTGATTGAAAGATTTTTTAAAATACTGGCCGTTACAGGAGTGTAAAGATGTAGTTTAAATGTAAAGTAACCCGAAGTGAGAAAAAAGCAGCGTTTGCATTTTTTTTCCACTAAATTCAAAACAAACGACTTATCCTCTAACCAATTCTAACTATAAACTCTTAATCTTAACCTAAACACCAGTCCTAAATCTCTAACCACTACCAAAAATACTGTTTGAAATCTCTCTACACCTTTCTACTGATTCAAGAAAACAGATAATCCATATACGTATGGGAGAATTGACATGTGATTATTTTTTTGAGGGGATTTACAAACAGAATAAGTTGTAGGAGACTTTGATAGGTTCACTAGTTATGTAAAATTTGCTTACCCATTACAGTGTTACTACTTATTTCCCACAAATCATTCATTTACAAATGCCGTTTTCTAATTGACTAGAATTCGTTTGAGTCGTTTTTGAACTCCTCCTTTTATTACACTTTTCACTGTCACATATCCAAGCTAATTTCATTAAAATGCTTTCATTTTGTGTGTTGGTTGTAGTGTTGTGTGTTTCCATTCATTGACTGCCTTATGGATATCTGCGTTATCATCTTATTTCCATTATCTAACCATACTTTAGCATTGTAATGTTTGTTGTACACTGAATACCTATTTGATATTTAAAAAACAATGGAAGTGAATATTTCCATGTCACGCGTTAATAATCAGTTTATTCTGTAATGTAATCATGTGAAGTGGATATATTTTAAGTTTCTAGTGACTTTCTTTGTTGTTTATACTCCTTTTTAAAATTGTATTCAGTTAATCAGACTTGTTAGATTAATAAGAGGAGTTGTCAGTGTTGGAATTGTGTTTAATTAATGTTCAATAAAATTGTAGATCTTCACATCATTTCATTTAGGGACTTATTATTTGTTACGCATTTGAAATCATCAATCAATCATTGTTAGACCACCATTAGAAACCTGGAAGCACTGGACGGCCGTTTCGTCCTGGTATGGGACTCATCAGGGGGAGTGCGCATCCACGACTCCTGCACCTCACAGGATTCTAACCCCGGACCTTCAATCTTATACGTGGACGCCTAACCTCTGGACCACTGGGCCGGCATCCAGTGGTGTTAATGTCTAACTCTGATCAGTCTAGAGATTTCGCGCAACCTCACCCATTTGTCTTTGGTGGTTACTGCCTACACCCGACAGGGTTGAACTTCACTGGTCACGTCTTCTGCAAGGTGCAGGAATCGTGGATGGGCACTGTTGATCAGTCCCACACCAGGATGAAATGGCCGTTATTTGATAAGAGCTTAAGTCATATAATGATCACTTTTTTCCTAAACACCTATTTGAAATCTATTTTTTGAAATGATGGCGAAGATTTGTGGTGGAGGGAATCCAGCTGTACCGAAATCTATGAGTATAAGGTTATGGAGATTGTTGAGTTTCATATAAATCATGACCGTTTTGTTTTAACGGTCTAATGAAATAATATCATATAACTATGATGATTATCAGATAATCACAATATTGAATACACACTTTTATTAGAATAAGCCCCATAGAGAATATAAACAATGATAATGAAAAAAACTAATAAATATTTCAATATTGCAATGCTATCCGTCATAAGTTGAATATCAAAACAACCTTTGCAATCGTTATACATAAATATTCATAATAAGTAATATACAGAAGTTTATTTGAATGCTACATTTATATATTCGAAAGTAATCTCATTGCGGGGTTGTTGTGAATCCTGCTCCTCGCAGGATTCGTGGATGCGCACTCCCCCTGATGAGTCCCATACCAGGACGAAACGGCCTTCTTTCAGTGCTTCCAGGTTTCTAATGGTGTGGTCTAACATTGATCGATTCATGGTTTCAAACAAAAGTAATCTGTTTGTTTGTTTTTTAACTTTAACCAACCTCTTATTATCCTGTATAAATTTTCATATTGTGTTCCCTTTACCTTGTGCATTGGTCTAATTGACTTCTATCTGAAGTTCGTGTTGATGATGTTGTTCAGAAGAACAATGAAAGCTCCACAACCTAAACAACCAGCTCAGAGAACGAAACACCACCACAATCATCCACCTGAGCTACAAGTTTTCTCCACCATCTCAAAATTGACATGTTAATAATATTGTTCATTTTGTTTAATTGTCCTTAAACAAAACAGTATGTGTGTATGTGTGTGTGTGTGTGTGTGATTTTCATTGGAATTATATCACTTAATTCGAATAATCGTCATCAACTTTTATCCGAATTATATTTTAGTTATTATCAAACACGAACTAGTAGTTGTGTTTTTATAAATTTTTTGTTTCTTTAATTTCTTCAAACCTTTGAGATCAATACGTTCCTATTGATTATTTTCGCGTTAATCTCATAAATTTCATCTGTTTATGTAAATATATATATATATATATATATATTATTTTCCTATTTCCTATGTAATCATTGCTTTCATGATTGTGATGATTGATAGAACTTGTTGATTTGTTTCGCCTTTTTTGTTATTGTTATTGTTATTACCGGTGTGTACCGTAACTTGAACTGACGTACGTACGTACGTACAAAATTCTACGTTGTAATTGACTAACTGACTGACTGACTGATTACCGGTGTGAATTATGTCATCAGTTGATACATTTGTATCTATATTAGAGTTGTAGTTTTTTTCCCTTATGCTTCATTAGGCTTTTTTTGTATCTGTACGTTTTGTATATGTAGTGTTTATTGTACTCAAAATAGAAAAATAAAACAAAACAATTCATAATTGAACAACAAATCAAATTTTGTTTTAGTGTTAATTACTGTAAAATAGATAGTTTGTTCATTTTCATTTGAACAACCATAAACATTATTTATGGGAGAAGCAGAAAAAAGATAAAAGGGATCTTTCACATTGAAATCATCAATCAGTCAATTATTGTTAGACCAACATTAGAAGCCTGAAAGCACTGAAAGACGGCCATTTCGTCCTGGTATGGCACTCGTCAGTAGTGCGCATCCACGGCTCCTGGACCACTGAGCCGGCATCTAAAGGTGTTAATGTCTAACTCTGATCAGTCTAGAGATTTCGCGCAACCTCACCCTACTGGATTAAACTCCACTGGTCATGTCTTTTGCGAAGTGCAGGAGTCACGGATGCGCACTGCTGATGAGTCCGACACCAAGACGAAATGGCCATCTAGTGCTTTCAGGTTTCTAATGGTGGTCTAACAATGATTGTTTGATTAATGGTTTCAATGTGTAAAAACACTAATGTCCATAAATCTAATAGAAAAATAAAAGGGATCGATAGAATGAATTTCGATTTTTATTCTTTTTAGATTTTTATCTTTTTCTCTATTTAATAATAATAATAACAGTAATAAAATTTTATTTAGATGATTAAGTTGAAACATTTTGTCGATTCAGTGATTGTAATAGAGATAATCTGTTTGTTAAATATATAGAAGACTGTTATAATGTATGGTGTCTCAGTTCTGAACATGATATGCGCTAATCCTCAAAAACTGGCTACTTGACCAAGAAAGCCAGAACAAAAGAGAAAGTCTATCTAGCTACCGAATCATGTGTACAAATACGTATCTATATAAAGACTTTGTTGACAAACATGTTAAACATAGTATGAAGGGATAGATTTCTCAAGTCTAAAAAATATTCTTTTATTCATGAGTCACTCTAAAGATTCAGTAGGATGCTGTGATCAAATACTATGAGTGAGAAATAATATCACAAATATAGTCCATTGAGTTCCCAGTGATTGTACTTGCCTTGAACAATGAAACATTTTATGTCCGATCCTGTGTCTTCATATCATTGACAAGTACAACAGTTCACTAACTGATGTCAGCTCATGATAAAAACTAACATTCAGTGATAATATTCTTGGGTGATTAGTGATTGTAACATTTAATTTTAATTGTAGTTTATTATTCTATTCATAAACTACTCATGAGAAATACTTACACTAAATATTTAGTATATAAATTTGTTCTCCTATCGTTAAAACCTTTCACCGTACAACTGTTTCATATCTAATATCTTATATTTCCCAGTTGCAATGCTGTTGTTAGAAAACGGGTACTAGGTAAGGATGGTAGGTCAATAGAGGAAGTAATAAAACTTCATTAGTTGAGGTGGTTGGAACATGTGTTACGTGTGCCGAACCACCGACTGCCTCGAAGAGCTGTTTTGAAATATACGAATTGGTTGGATAAAGGCTAGGGGCGGCCAAACCAAAACATGGCAGAAGTCCATGAAGTCAGTGACAAGTGGACGGAGGTTTGATATTCATCAATACATTTCATAAGTTAGTAGCTTTAAACCATTAGTTTGTTGAATTAATGCGATGATTTATAAAAACTTATTCATCAAGTGTTTATTGTGTATGTTATACTGTCTGCATGGTTAGGGTCCGCGGATGATAATAATCGATGGTTAGAGACCCTGAATGACATGGCTCAAACCGTTCGCAATGGCGCCGTGCATTCATGATCTTTTTATTCTCATCAAATCCTGACATTTTTAAGTTCTTCTCACTTCGTCTTGTCTCTTTCTAATTTACTTCACTGAATTATAATTCTTGAATAAACATCTTCGACCCATAAGCTCAAAAATAGCCTGTTACTTCTAATAACTTTACATAAAACTCTACTACTATGGGATTTGAATTGCCGACTGCGTCTCTGTGCTAATTGTAGTATGTCAACTTGAACTGACGTATATACGTACGAAGTTCTACGTTGTAACTGACTGACTAACTGACTGACATAAATCATTTAGCATTTAAATTAAAAATTCTTTATTTACAAAAAATTGAATGCCTAATTTGTTCAGCTCTTTTTTCTTCACATATAGTTAAATATTCAATAAAATTATTCTCAAAAATTATCATATATTCTAAGTTTTGAAAATTGAAATCGTTTTTAATTAACTAGATATAAAACAAAAAATTGATTGAAATCAGTAAAATACTTAAATTATCTAATCGAAAGAGAATTGATTATCATCAATATTCGGTGTGTTATGCATCCGAAATTCAATTTCAAATAAATTCACATGATTAATTTTTTTTGTAAACCGTTCATAGATCAATCATATATGTTGTAATGCTCAATTATTTAACAGGGCAATCATACGATTTCGAGTATCATTTGATGTTTTTTTCTTTTCTTTGATCTGATCAATATCGATTTATTCAGAAGTAGCGATATAAATGAAAACTTTTGTTTTCTATGCTCAAGTTAGATTTCATCAGTGAATGAATGTTTCCAAATCAAAGAGCATCATCACCATCATAGTTGAGTCTTTTTCCTTTTTAAGAACACCTCAGTAACAACCGACAATCATTACTCCATATAGTATTGGATTGAAAACTTGTAGAATTCTAAGCTTTCTCATCCTGTGTAGGTAGGATTGCAGGTGTACATTGTTGACGAGGCTGAGAAAAATCTCCACTGCTGATTAGTTCTCAATCGTCCACCTGATGATGTCAGCGTGTGGTAATAATCCCCCGAAAACCAAAGATAAATATTGGTTTATTTTTTTCTTAATAAGTACATCAGTTTTTTGAGGTGGAATTTAGAAACTTGTCACTTAGGTTAATCAACAAACTCATCGAAATCGATTCAGTTTATCAATCAATCAATCAGAAAAATGGTGGACCAATGTGGGACCGAGTATCAGATCAAATCAAAGATACAGAATGATCAAAAGTCAACAAGTAACCAATCATAATCGAGTTTGACAAGACAATCTCTTAGTCAACTGAAAAGAAATTCGATTGATTCATTTCTACTTGAAGTTTGAGATGATGTTCTTCAAAAGTACATAGAAAGTGCCACGACTAAACCATCCAGTTCAAAGAATAAAACTCCACAAAATCATTGCTTGTATATCCTGGGACACCCGAGTGAGCAACGCTGTTATTAGGAATCGGGTGCTAGGTAAGAATGGCAGATCAATAGACGCAGTAGCGACACTTCATCAGTTGAGGTGGTTGGGACATGTTTTGCGTATGCCCAACCACCGACTGCCTCGTCGAGCTTTGTTTTGTAGTGTAGGAATAGGTTGGAAGAAAGTTAGGGGCAGCCAAACCAAAACATGGCAGAAATCCATGAAGTCATTGACTAGTGGACTGAGCCATGTCGGTAATTGTCGACTACCTGGTTGGGGTCCGCGAGATGATAATAATCGATGGTTAGAGACCTTGAATGACATGGCTCAAAATCGTTCGCAATGGCGCCAGTGCATTTATTCTTTGTGTTCTCTCAAATCCTAATCTTCTGGATTCTTCAACACCTCTAGTTTTGACTTTCTAAACTTATCTCACTGAATCATACTTAATCCTAACCTCTCCGATTACTTCTAATACCTTTACTACCTTTTCTACTATTGGATTTGAATTGACAATTACATCTCTGTGCTGATGTGGTATGGCGACATGAACTGATGTACTTACGTACGAAGTTCTACGTTGCATCTGACAGACTGACTGACAAAATTATCCAATTAAATTATCAATCTTCACCATCTAATATACTAAGGATTCTTACATGTCAATCATAGTTCTTTGTTTTACATTTAACTGATCACTCTGTTAATGTACCTAACTTTCTTATGACACATCACAATACTAACAGTATTTCTTCAAACGTTTGACTCCACATGTTGTGTAAATAAATTATTGCTCTGGGTTTTATAGACAAATATCAACTTTTTATGTTTGATTTTCTTACAATCTACTCATTACTTGCATTGCTCTTTCTAATTCATACATTTCCATTAATACTTGATACAATCTATAGCATATTATCTCATCGATTCGCATCATTCATCATTTTTTTTCCCTTCTCTTCCTTTGTGTTCGTGTTGGTGTTTGTTCACTGTCGTCTAAGAAGTAATCAGCCATTATGTTGATGAATTCATACATAAAAATTGTTATCATGTAAAATTAACCGTATATTGATCAGTTTACAATCCTTTAATTAATAATAGAAATATTTTGTTTAAATGATTTGTAAATCTTTGCTTATTAAAGGGATGAAGATCCTCCTGTACAAGGTCCTATTAATCGTGAACCAGATGAAAAACTTTATGGTACTTCTAGACCGAATTTAGGCGTCAAAAAATTGTAAGCTTTATTAAAATACTTTTTATTTATTACGTTTTTATAACAAACGACTGACCATATTCCCTGAAATTCTTGTGGGTTGTAACCGGTAGAGTTCACACATTCTTGATGTGAAATAGTTGCCATAAGGAGCCCTGAATGATTATTGCACTTTATAATGAACTGTTTGAAGTTGGATCTCAGCCTATTGGCTGAATAGTTGGGCCGGATTTGAGAACTTAGGGTCTGAGTTTTATTCTTAGTGCAATCTTAGACACGCACTTTTAAACAATCCTATACTAGCGCAAAACAGCAGTTCAATGCTTCCTGGTTTTTAGCAGTTGTTTAACCGAAGTTAGTCCACAGTGAAATGCTAACTGTTGCACAGATACTGAATAAAATTCAGTATTTTTGTCAATTAGTTGTGCTTTACACTTGATCACTGTCAAAACTCTTAGTCCCGGGTATTGTTAAACGTTCTTAGTAGTAATAACTTGCGCTCTTCGTTCTACTTTTTTCTAATGTATCTGTTTTGGCGCGTGCATGCAAATCGATAAATGCATTTAAGGGTACTGAGATAAAGAGGATTAATCGAATTTTGTTTGTTTTATGGAACAGTTTGTTTTATGTTAGATAACAACCATTTCTATTGAGTTAGCAGCATTGATTTTGTGACTAGCCAGTTCAATAATTTCAGTAAATAAGCTTTTCTTTTCAACTGTATCTTAGGTTCATGAGTTTGCTCTGTATTCTAACGACATGGTTCAAAATCGTTTGCAATGGCTCAGGTGCATCCACTCTTTGTGTTCTCTCAAATCCTAAACTTTTTAATTCTTCATCACCTTTATCTTTTTCTTTTTAAAGTTTATTTCACTAGATTCTACTTCTCAAATAATATTTTCGAACCCTAATCTTTACGATAACTGTCCATACTTCTACTATGGGATTTGAACATTTGACAATCGCGTCTCTGTGCTAATATGGTATGGCACCATGAACTGATGTACATACGTACGTACGTACGAAGTTTTACGTTAATGTTAATTGATTGATTGATATCAATTCACTGGCATACATTTGTTAGAACTTCAATTCTCTTTTTTTTTAACCTAATTAAATGTTTGAATAATTTAAATGTAATTCTTTTTTTTTGTCAATTTTTTATTTTTCATGATTATTAGTTTTGAAAGTCTTCTATCGAAATTAAATCGATAACTTCACTTGGAATTCCATATATTTATCCAGAATGATATACATTTATGAATGGTAAGCTATGATGTAATTTTTTGCCTACTTATACATAACATTTATGTGTCTCTGTGTTCATTTATTACCATTGTTGTATGAAACACATGCATTATGATCAAACTATTGAACATAGTCAAGCTGTAACTCGGTTTAACTAGTCCAATGCTCATCATTGGTCTTCATACAAATTTTCTGTTACGCGTATGAGGGCGGTTGTCACTTCTCAGCTGCCCACGCCGTGGAAGGTTGTTTCTTGAGGAATGTCGGTCTTAGAGACCTGGGAGCGTGACCGCAGAGCCAAAAGGACAGCTGCTTCGGGCCGGTCACGCACGGCCTTTTTATGAAAGGATTTTTGAGTGTTAGCTCCGCTATTAAAAGCCCTTAGTGGGCACTCTTACCGCCGGATACGGAAATCCGTGAGATAGGGTGAGGTGTGACATTTTTAGGGTCGACCTTTTCTAACCCTTCCTTCCTTGTGAGAAGGCAGCAGTATCGCTGCAGATGCTGGTTGTCCGAGGGAAACACCTTACTGCTGTCACACCCCTCCATCACAGTCAGCAGTACGACTTGGCCCTCAGACCATGAGTAACTGCTTTTAGTCTGATCGTTCTCCAATCGACCTGCCTTTCATGGTAAAACCTTCAGGAACATAAGTTCCAGCTAGTATAGCTCGGTTGGGTCATCTCGATAGGCAAGTCCGACCACCACATCAAGGTAGCAGCTTCTGTCGGGCTTCATACAAATAACTTATTGCTTAAGTATACATAAATTTGTATTTCACGAAAGTGTTTATATGCAAAAAACAAGTTAATTATCCTAACATTGGACTAAATATTTATGTAGAAAGTAAAGAGAAAATTCTGTAGAGGAACCTTTATACCGATATCTCAGTCGTAACGTTCATCTCTTGTACATATTCATCAGTTATTATATTTACAGAAATTTGTAAGCCATGAACAATTAACTTAATCGTAATCACCCTGACATACTCGCTTTAAGGCTGGTATGTAACGATAGGAGTTGTGCAGCATATCAAAAGATATTTATCAATTGAAAGTGTAACATCTAGATATATAACGTATG